ACCAAACTAAATAACAGTAAACTTTTTTTTGATTTACGGTATTTTCTTATTTTGATGTTTTGAGCACTTTTGTGTTTAGAACAATACATACTAATTTTTAAAGTATCAAATTGGATTTTTGTTCAATAAAAATCTTTCAAATGTGACTGTAGCCTTTTTTTTTCCCAAAAACTTTGTCTTCAAAATAAGGGTGCGTCTTATATTCCGAAAAATACGGTATATCTTAAGTCTATACTAATATTATTCACAACAATTACACGTCATGAACAACATGCGTCACATGTTGACCAGAAATGTCACTTCTGACACAGTTTGAATTAATTTGAAAATACACTGGTAACAATAACAACTTAGAACCAAAACCTTCGAAATGCACATGGTAATTATTATAATGTTAATTAAGCTTGTGCTTTAAAAGAAGTGTTACATTGATAAATTTGTTTTCAAACAATGTAATGAAAGCACACTCGAATAAGTTTCAGCCCATTACCCTGGGGCCAAAATCTCAAATGGTCAACCCAAGTTTCAAAATTGATGATATGAAATTAAAATCCTCGGTATTACTGTTGACTTCGTGTTAAAATATGAAACTTATCTGATAACCTGAAACATTCAAAAATTCATCTAGACAAATAAATGTTTTAAAGCGAATAGATATACGTCTGACACTACAACTACAAGGTAAAAAAAAATCATCACTTATCACTCTTCCATTTTAAGTATAACTATTCTCTTTGTCGTAATATTTTTGCAGTAAATCCAATATCATAAAACTACAAAAACAAATCAAGAAAGAACTTCATGGTTTATCTTTGATAATCATAACACCACTTATGAACAACTTCCAATTCTCTCTATAAACTCCCCCTCATTATACATATGAGGTACGCTGCTATTCAAACTCCATAAGTTGTCAACAAAAGTTGTCCTTATCTATATAATTTAGTATCTATAAAAAAATCCTTCCTGTGGTTCACTCTTTCGCATATTCACTTAAGTTAAAATATTTTATGAAATGATCTACTTAACGACTGGAGTTCAGAGTTGCTACCAGCTTCAACCAATAATAAAGTAGTTCTAAGTTATAATACATGGAATAGTTGTGAATGTTCTTGTACTGCTTAATTTTATGTGCTTTGTGTATGTACTAATTAGGCTAGTCGGTTGAAAAGCTCTGTAGAATTTATGTTATGAACCTATGGTTAAGAAAAATATAAAAAACCTCCTGTACCTGCAAATCATAAAACCATACATATATAATATTTCGAACTCCCCAAGAACACTTTATTTTTAGTCTTACACACAGCAGCTTTTCTGGCACTGGGCGTTGTTCAATAAACTGAATTAACCAACTTCTGATCAATATTGATAAGTAATTTTGTTGCGATTCATAATTATAATGTCACATATAGGGATAATATTAAACAAATTCGATCAGTATTATGCACTAAAGTAAATTTGGTTCATAAGATAACCTACTTCAAACCTTGGATTAATGAAATTAAAATTTAATAAAAGTAATTTCTCAATCATTTATTTAGAAATTCTCCTTAAGTACATCACAGTTTGGATAAGATCATATATTTTACCTTAAATTCAAAATAAACTTGGTTACTTCTTTAAACAAAGTATTATTAATATGCGATTAGGAAAGACGTTTAAAAAATCTCTTAAATTTAATCGTAATTCTTATCTTTCACTTACCTTGTTTGTCTCGTTAAGATCTGACGTATCTGTAGCAATACCATTGGTTTGGTTCCATGTTTCACTTTCAGTATTTCCCGTTTTCGAAGATGCACTGTTTCCTTGATCATCTTTACTTTTAGCGTCAGTTTGTTCGGGTTCACCATTGATCATCTTCGTGGTCATGTTGCGAAGAAAATATATGTAAACAATTTCAACTTCAAGTAAGACTTACTAAGTTACTTTAGAACGGTTATTTAACTTCCAGATGATAATTTTAGATTTCTATACTATTATTTTAGTTTGTTTTTTACACAGTCTAAAGTAAACAACTGCACAATATCTTTACTAGACTTAAATTGATGTAACAATGGGTAGGCCTAGACTGGCTAGTGACTTACTTTCAAATTTACAAGGATAAGGCTTAGTTACGACAAACAAACTTCTTATCTTACTTTAAATATCGAATCTACCTTTAGGCCGAAATTTTAGTTATAACGGCGTGTTTTCAAATCTCATAAACTATCTAGCAGTGAAATATTATTTGCAGCCTACAACTAACTAAAATTTGTGGGATCGTGAAACTCTTATTCTCAAACTAGAAGTACTGGAATTACACAGTGCTTAGCCTACAGCGTACGTACACAATGGTTAAACTAGTAACAGCTTCTAGCAACACAGAGTCCCGGATGAGGTGAAAGCATGGGTTGAACGCTATGTATCTGCTTTACTCTATGCGGCGATTTCATGCCGTTAGTTAGATTGTCTAGTCTATTCTTTTATCAAAATCACAAAACATTTTGATATTTTTAAACCTATTTTTCTTTTTTATCTAGTATTAATAATGCATCGGAAAGAACAAAAACACCATATTTTAGCTCTGAACTTTTAATTACTGATTGAAATTGAATACCATGTTAGTTTGCTACCGTTACTGTTAATAATATTACATTTATGGTATTAATAAGGCATATATCCCATACTTTATCAGTTTATGTTTGTGCATGATTATATATATTCTTTCACAGTTAGTGTTACGTATATCACGTCAGCGTTCCTGTGCTTTAATTGTACAAGATCCAGTGCAGTTCATTTGACTTTGTTATTGTTCTAGACCAAACATTCTGTTTAGTACTTGTTCAATTTACGAAAGAAACATCATACCGTATATACAGTTATCTCTGTAAAATATGTTTCAAAATCGTTGTTTTAATTATAACAGTGTAATGGTGTTAAGAATTTAAATTGCTCTAGAAGATACCAGTCATCCAATTTTTTTATATGGTAATTTATTTGAAGTTTGTCTGAATTTAAGTGCTTTACAGTATATCTCTTCAGAATTAGTTTAATCAATCAACATATTTAACAATGAACAATTATATCTCACTAGGAGAGCAGAAAGCTGCTAAAAGTCCACTACTAACTTCAAGTTTGACAAAAATGTGGCAGTTAGTATCTTCCTGTAAGAGTAAATAGGATATCATTATGTTCAACACCATCTGATCTTTATATAATAAAAAAAATTAGTTTGAAAATTTGAAATAGATGTTATTGGGGTGTAGAAAGTGTACATAAAGGCTTTCTCAGAGCTAACTGTGCATTACATAATTGGTAATGTGATCATTGCAGGGGGGGGTGAGCAAGGGGCACTTGCCCCCCCCCCTCTGGAAAATGAGAAACATATTTCTTTCTTTATTCATTCAATATATATATTAATATTATGTTGATCTAGGCTTTGCCCTTTCTCCCTGGAGAAATTTCTGTGCATGCCCATGGACGGTCCAGATGGACCAAAAGTACCCCTGTTGTCCTTTAATGTTATGTTAATGTGTTACAATAAAAATAAGCAATACTAAAGTGTAATAACCTTTTTTTATGTTCAGTTTCTTGGCACTACAAAAAAATACCAAATAACTTCAGTGTTTATTTGTTTTTTGTTGTTGTTTTCAATATCAATACAATATTTTTTAGACTTTGGAACTAGCCATTGTAAACAGTCTGTTACATTTTATGTATTTATATCTTTGTTTTACACCTTAACTAAGCTGCATTCTTATTTTATCCTTAGATAAATATATGTTTTAAAATTATCAATGTGCAAAGTTCATTGCAGTAATCATGGGATAATGGTTACAAAACTCAGTTTTAAGTATTTGCATAAGAAAAATGGAAATTTTGAATCCTGGTAGATTTTGCATTTGGAAAACCCAGAAACATAGAGGTAATATAGCCTAAAATACCTGAAAAACAAAAGCCTTCAGTTTAGGATGGAAAGTAACAACAAATGTTGCGAACATTCTATGCACATTAACTAAACAAAATCGAGATTTATGTTTATTTGATATGTTCAACCTGTATTACTTGTTGGATTTAAACCATGTAGGTTCAATAATATTAAACTTGCTATTTATTGGAACCACCTTTACGAAAGATAAAATTTTAAAATTCAAAGCCATTGTTACAAAAGCTCATAATTTGAGCAATTTTATGAATGTTAGCATCTTAAAGATACAATACACTACACTTGCAGAGGTTACTTACTTAAGGACAAGTCAGAGATAGCTTAGAAGACAGTGCTATTAGAGGAGGAATAGTAGATTAGGAGCAGTAAGTAAGGGAGGAAGGGGATAAAGTTAGAGTAAAGGTTGCTTTTGGAGGATGGAGGTGGAAATGAGAGTTCTGGATTTACAAGGGTGCACAGGAGTATAAAAGTTAGGGCTATAGAAGCAGGTTCAGTTAGCATTTTGTTACCAAACTAATCTATTTGAACTTTTGGCTACTTGCACTGAGGAACATTATAATCAAGAGGTTTATATAATATACTGATAATTTGAATTATAAGTATAATTTGGATGGAAATAACCTTAATAGTGTTATGAAGGAAAGGGATTTTGATGTAATATTTGATGAGTCTCTAAAGCCATCCAAGGAGTGTGCTGTTGCTAGTGGTAAGGCAAATAGGATTTTAGGTTGTATCTACAGAAGTATTGAACACAAGTCTAAAGAGATTATAATTTCATTTGTACAGATCACTGGTTAGGCCACATTTGGAATATTGTGTTCAGTCTTGGGCTCCTTACCATAGGAAGGACATTGAATTGTTAGAAAGAATTCAGGGAAGAGTTACTAGAATGATGCCTGGGTTAGAGGGGTTGTCATACAATGAGAGGCTGAAATCTTTCAAATTGTTTTCTCTTGAAAAAAGAAGAGTTAGGGGGGATTTGATTGAGGTGTTTAAGATTGTAAAGGGAATTGATAGTGTTGATGTATCATCTTTTTTATTATTTAATAATGAGAATAGTAGGACTAGGGGACACAGCTATAAAATAACAGGGTTGTTGGTCTTTGGAATGGGTTGCCTTCAGATGTTTTAGAGGCAGTAAATTTAAGTGAGTTTAAGAAAAAGCTTGATAAGTATATGAATGAAAAGGGCTGGGTTTAATTTTTTTATTTTTTAATCATTTAAATTTACTTTTAAGGATGGAACAGCCAAGATGGACCAATAGGTCCCATGTTGTCCCAAAATATTATGTTATTTGCAGGAAGGGAGCATAGAAAAACTAGAACTCAAACTTGCTTGCCATGTGTAAATGTACAAGACATTATAGATTATCATAAAAAGTTTAGTTACTTGTACTAAGAAATATTCATTTTTCTGTAGTGTGTGTAGAAGCAAATTATGTTGGAAGATATAAAAAAACTATAAAGAATTTCTTTAGAGATTTAAGGATAGAAACAAATGTATATCTTTTGAAAGTACTTCCTCAATCCCAATGCAGGAATGATCAGTTTACTCAACAGTATCTAAGGCTCAAATGAAAGATTATCAGGGATGTGTTTAGAGCAACATTTGGGTTAGTTAGACCTATAGGATGATTTTCATGGTAATGGTGAATTTCATACTAGAAATGGACTCCACGTAAGCAAGCTATGTAATAGAAATTTTGGAAAAGCTTTAAAGATACTCATTTAAAATAGTCTTAACTGAACTTGCATAGCAGTAAAGGGTTTTGGGAGATTGAGAATAAACAAATTGATGGGGCAGTGTGGAGATTGGAAATAGGATGCTTAGAGCATTAAAGATTAAATGATAGTTTTAAAGATAAGTTTATCAGATTAAAAGACAATCATAGAAGATTCAAGAATGAATTTAGTTGTTGTTATTGTAATATTAGAAGTATTAGGCCAGATAAAAAAAATAATTCCAGTTTCTCTTCAGATGCTTTCAGCTACCTAAAAGAGGGAATTGTGTGTTTTTTGTTAATAACCTGACTGATATGCTATTCAAACATCAAATTAATGCATATATATATATATATATATATATACACATTAACACCATTTGAAATGTCAACCTTGCTGCTAGGTTACACCAAATAAAAATTATTGTCAATCAAGTCTTTGTACATGTGGCACTTCAGTCAAACACGAGAAGATAGATGTGGGAATTTCTAAATCTGAGTTGGTAACAATTTCTAGATGTGGACACTGATGAGAAAACACCCATGTCACTTAGTCATAGGACCTGTGAAAGCAGTTTCCAAGACCAGTTTGTGTGTCAACATAATTTTCTAAATTATCCAACTCTGTTGCAAATTTTAACACGTTTTTTCAGCTAACATTCCCTGTTCCTCCCAAAAAAAACACTTAATGACATCATGCTGTATCTTTCCTATTAACCCTGCTGTGCCAATGTCTGCAATCATATCATCAGTTTTAAAAGAAGATGAAGACTCATCAAAATTCATTCCAGTTTTACATAATTCAAAATATTCACTCTTCAGTGGTAGATAAAAATGTTCACCCACTTCTTACACAGATTTATTTATTATTCTAACTAAAAACACAGACAAACTTGATGACGATGTGACTGGTGCTGTTTAGTACTGTAAGCTTAAAATCGGGAAGCCACAATGTTATCAGTTGTCTATGTATCATAGCAAATCTCCTTTGGCAAATATGTTTTAAAAATTGTTTTGCTCTCTTTCTTATATTTACAGTGAGATATGTTGTGCTGTGAGAAGAACACCTAACAGGTAAGTTTACAGAGAGGATAATCATGTATTTAATTATTTTTAACTTCCAAAAGTACTCTTTTAGAAGGATGCTGAAAGTTTTTTTGTTTTTTTTAAAGTTTATAAGATGGATGAAATTTTAAATGTATTGTTATTATTAATATTCTTGACAAATGGTATATTCTATAGAAGATACTGGAATTGCCCTGAACCATGTATGGTAAACAGAAAGATTTGGGAATTAAAAATGGATAAAGCACCCAGACTAGACATGGTTTTCCCAAGGCTTGAAAATAGGTCAGAGATCAGGTATACAAGACTCTCTCATTTTTGGTAGGTCAGCAGATAGTGGACATGTGCCTGAGGACTGAAGAGTTACTAATGTAATGGGTTAAATTCTAGAGAGTCTGATAAAAGAAAGCTAGTACTGATTCACTAAAGAAAGTCGTGACTTTACTAACGTGTTAATTTTTCTTAAGTATTTTACTTGTTACCTGGACAATGGAAATGGTATTCACAGATTTACTTAGATTTTTCAAGAAGTTTTTAATAATGTGCCAAGCAGAAGATTAGTTAAGAAAACCACATTGGTATGTGTTGGGGAAGACTTATTAATTGGATTGTAGACTGGTTGGATGGGAGAAAACAAAAGGTTGTTATAAATAGAATGGTCAAACTAGCTTTATTTAGTAGTGGACTGCTCAGAGGTCAGATCTTCATTATGATTTTTCTCATTTATGTTAATAACATTGATAGGGGCATAATTAATAAGTTTTGCTGATGGGTATTTCTAGCTGTATTGAGGATGATGAGGTATTTCACAATGACTTGAATCAGTTGATAAGTTTGGGAAATATTTGTTAAATAACCTTTAATTATAATAAATTAAAAATAATAAATTTGGATCACATATCCAATATGGAAGAGAACCCACTCAGTAGCATGACTAAAGAAAAGAATCTTGGCATAGTGATGGATAAGTTACTCAAGCCATTGAGGCAGTTCTCTGTTACTACTTGTTAGGCCTTACTTGGAATACAGTGTACAATTTTGGCCTCTTTATCTAGGAAAGATTACTGAGTTATTGGAGAAAAGACTTCAGAGGAGGGCTACTAAGAAGATTTGGGGATGGACAGGTTATATTATATATTTACGATCTTTTAACTTATTTTTTCTTGAATATACTAGGATAAGAGGTGGATCTTATTGAAGTTTATCCAGAGGATGGATAAGATAAAGACATCTGATTTCTTTATGCTGTATTGTGAAGACAATAGGATGAGAAGACACAAGCTCATGATTTGTCAAAAACATGCTAGGCTCCAGATAAAACATTTTTATTTTTCTAACAGTGTGAGTAACTTATGGAAGGAATAAAGAGTGAGTTTAAAGTTTTACTTTTTCTTTTTTTTAACAGTGGGCGTGCAAAGTCAAAATGGTCACTTTTTGTATGTGTGTTAATTAATTAGTCCATAGATTTTATATTTCTTTATTATATTTTTAGTTCTATTTCTTGTCTAGTATATTTCAGTATTTGAAAAAGCTGGCTTTATAGAAATATAGTCATTACCTAGAAAAATAAGATAAAAACTTACAGAGGAATAAGAGTCTTAATTTTGTTTAGTTCACAATCACTGCATACTTATGATGATTCTGGAGTACTTTAACAATATAAAAAGTGAAAAAGTTTTCTTCTTTTCTCTTCGGCTTTTTCAAATATTATGTTGACTCTGAAATACTTTTACAATGTTTTGGCAGTTTTTTTCTATCATGACTTATTTTACTCGCAAAGATCATGTCAATTCTGGAGTCTGTAGACAGTGTCACACTTAACTAAGGTTTGCTTTCATCAACTTTTTAAACTTATAAATATGGTGCCCATTTTGAAGTTATTGGTCATGTTACAGGTTATTGATAACCCCCTTTATCAGATAGTGTGTAATATAAAGCTCAGAAAAATGGCATTCATATTGGGGTCTTTATGTTATGAAGTACATAAACTTTTGCCTTTTATCAGGTGACCATAGTTTTCTTTTGTCAGCATGTTTAGTTTAAAGAAGCAGTTGATTCTGGTTTGTTTGAATAGTGAAACTGGTGACAAGTGTTTTTCTTATCATCATCTTTAGATTACAGAGAGTATCCTTATCTTGGAACCCTTAACAGTGTTTGAGGACACTAAATTTTGTTTACCTCACAAGGAGGCTTATCCAAATTTGCTTTAGATTACACTGGCCAACAAGTCATTTTTATCAGATATAATTATAGGTGGGCTAGATAGCTCTTGGGATGCTGATTCCAAATCTGTTTTTGGTTTTCCTCTAGCACATCAAGTTTTTGTGATGAGACCAATCAAATTTGAAAGGTTATTGCCTTAATTATAATTTAAGTTGTTGTACATTTATTTTTTCATAAGTGTGTACTGTATAAATTTAACCAAGTGCATGGTGTGTGTGTATAACATTTATGAGAGTTATATTGAAAAATGAATAAATTTGTAACATTAACTAGCCTTATGTGTGATTATTACCTAAATTGTGCTGAAATTAACACCAGTAATATTTCGATAACTAGATGTGCTAGAAGAAAACAGATTTGGAATCAGCATGTAAAACTGGTCTAGAAAAGTCTACTTACATCTTTGATGGGAGAAAAAAGTTTGAGTTTGTCGACTAGTGTTATTGAAACATAGTCCAATTATATCAGTATTAAGAATCATTATATAAGTATGCTATGATAATCTGAATGACTTTTGTATGAAAAATATTTATGATATGCTTGGATAAATATTTAGATTATCATTAAGATTTTTATTTCTTTAATTAAACATTTTTAGATTATTTGGCTTAAGTCACAACTTTGAAAAAATAATAAAACATGCTGCCAACCTTTTTATTTTTTATCTTGAAAAAGAAATATTGTTGATATGTTGCAGGAACAAGGAATATGGTTAAAGATAATTAGATAAGTCAGGTAAACCAGCATGTCTTTCCTTGACTACAGATAATATTACAAAATCCATTATTTTGATATATCAAATAGTGTTTCTTACTGTATGTGAAACCATTTTATGCAGTATAACTTTATTATAATTCTTTTTTACATATTGGATTTCTATTAATTTTTTTTAATGTTACAGGACTATTGATTAAAGAAAGAGCTGGTCCCCCGGTAGGACAGCGGGTGTGAGGGGTTTTTGATCTGTAGCTAAGAGGTCTTATTCTATCAACATCCTGGAGCTTCTTGCTGTAAGATGATCATGTTTTGGTTCATTTTCTCCATCTGACCAGAAATTATCTTGTAATGATCCAATCCGAATTTTCTTCAGTGGCTGCTTATCTCAGTCACCAGGATGGCATCCATTCTTCATCCCTTTGTATTCTTATGTTTGATCTTCTTTTGGGGCTTGTTGTGGATTGGATTCTTGTCCAGACAACATTTATCCAACATAGTGGTCTCTCAATCCCTTTGCTTTTTCAGTGGCATTGACTTCAGTAGGGTACTCCTCACATTGAAGCTTTTGCTATGCCCCTTAACAACAAATTACCTTGGTTTTGGTCTCCAGTTCCTCGTCTTCTTGTGCTGGCTATCAATGTTTTAAGCCAGGATTGGACCTACACATTTGTCTATCCTCCCATTCTCCCTCTTCTCCAGGTGATTTCGTTGATCCTTGACACTCCATGTTCAGTTCTTCTGATAGCTCTTTCCTGGCCATCTCAGCTGTGGTTTCTGTGGCTTCTCCAGCTCTAACTTCTTCCTTTGTTACCTTTTCCTCTGCCACTGGCCCTTTTTTGTCACCCTCAGTTACCAGTGTTTCATCCAGACCTTCCTGTCTTCCGTCTTCATGCCTGTTTTTCTTCTTTTCATTGGCGAGATGATCTGACTTCTCCCGATGGTTAGGCTCTTTACTGGTCTGTTTCATTTGCACTTCCTACATGGAAGTTTCTCAACACAAATGGAATTTTACTGTTAGTGGTTTCTGTGTCCGGGGTTTTCCCCTGATCAACCCACTATTTTTTGTCATGTGGATTTCCTCTTTGACTTTTGGATTGGGGGTCTTCTGTCTCCTTTCGTTTTTCCCGATCCAGCAAATATTTCCCTCTCCCACACTTTACCTATAGATGTGTGTTCCTTCTGGATGTATCATCTGCCACAGCAGGCTGCTCTTCTGGATGGGGATATTAATGTGGTCCTACACTGCCTCACTGCCTATGTTTGAACCACTCTCCCAGTATTCCTTGTTTCACCTTCCCTTATGTCTTCTTTCCTTCTCCTATTTGCCTATGGATGTCAGTAATCTGTTTATTTGCCATTGATGTTTCACATACTCTTTATCCTTCTACATATCTGCTCCTTTCTCAGGATCATTTTTCCTCCCTCACACTTTGCGGCTCATGAGGATAACTCCTCCATTTAGCTGCTTTCCCTCTCTTCCATTTCACATCTTTATCCTTGACCTGATCCAGATAGACTTCTATATCCTTTACATGCTCTTCTCTGTTATATTGCCTGCACAGCTTCCTTCCGTGGTGTCCATTCCAACCTCTTTCTTCCTTGGCAACCATTCTCTGTTCCTCCTTCTCCAATTGGCTTTGGCTTTTCATTTGTTTGGCTTCTTACTCTTTATCTTTTTCCTCCCATACATTGTTCTGAGTGTCTTCTCACACAAATCGACACCTTAACTTTTCATTGACATTTCATCTTTGTCGTCCTTTGGAGGTACTTCTTCAATCGGGTCTGTAAACTACCCATGATACATTTGTCTTTCACTGTTTGCATCAGATTGCAGTTTTCTTCCTCATCATGTTATAATCTTCTGCCTGTAGTCATTCTACAATATCAGAATTCAGTGAGACTTTGACTGGGTAAGTTTTTTTTAGTTTTTTTCTTAATTTTCCTTTTCAGAGGCCTTTTTCCCCTTTTATTAATGTTTATTGAATGGATCTCGATCTTTGGTGAGTGGTGCTTGATCAAGTATTCTTTAAGTGTTCAAATTGGTACTGTCAAGCCATGTCGACTTGCATATTATAATCCCATGGCCACACAATGTACACTGCAGAGATGGAGTGTTCCACAAGATTGCTTGTAGGTTTATCCTCCAAATAGAATGGCTTCATAAGTTTACCCATGGACTACATGGGTAAAGCAGAAGGGGATAGCTTCCCATCCCTGCCATGCTTTGTCTTGAATAAATCGGTATGGTCAGCTTCTAAAAATAGGGTTTTGTGGTTACCCATTGCACTGTCTCAGGTGTTGTCATTCCTCCAGACTCTCCACCACATTTTACCCCTCTTTTTTTCTAGTGGAGTTTGACAGTCCTTACCATTTTCCATTTCCAAGCTGCTGGGGTAGTGGACCATGGAGGCATCCTTCTGAATGGGTTAATGAAATACAAACAAATTATAGAAATGATTATAAAACCATTCAGTTGAGAGTAGGGTGATGGTGTTCTACTGATGTAGATGATGTGATATCCTCCAATATGAAACATAAAAACAAGTGGGAGTGAGACATTAAACTTGCAGTTCACCACATTGATTGAGATCCATCTTCCTACCCCCATGTGGATGTCAGGTTCCCAGTGGCCAGATGTTGGATTTAGAGTAGAACCAATCAACATAAGTCCTCATAGTTATATTACAAATGTCTATATTCTTCCCTTATTGATAATACGTCAGTGTTGTGGGTCATAATGGAGGTTATTGCAGGTTGTTATGGTTCTTTCCCTTCCACTATCCGTCAATGTTTCTTATTCCAAGGATGTTAATATACCAGATGTCGGGTTCCCTGATCGATCTATCAATTTATCATATTCACATGCGCTTCGTTCATGAGTTGGGGGGGGGGGGTACTAGTTACTCATGAACATGAGGTCAAGATGGTGTGATCCTCTTTCCTACCCCCACATGAATGTCGGTTCCCTGTGGCCTGGGATTTGGATTGTAGTCGACTTGTCAGTGGTATGATCCTCTTTCCTACTCCCACATGGATGTCAGTACCCGGCAGCTGGGTTTTGGGTTGTAGTTGACTAATCAACAGTATGATCCTCACCTCACCCTCTCGTGGATATCAGTTCCAAGTGGCATGGGTTTGGGATGTAGTTTACTTGCCATGTATGGTCCGTCGCACCGTAGCTACT